CCAAGAATAGCCTTGCCAATTCACAGAAGAGATCGATGAATACACGGGACGGGTTCTAAACTATACCGGTTGAAAACCGCTTAAAAAGGCTTTAAAAAAAACCACCACACAAAAACAAAAAAGGTAAAGATTGCCTGAAAATAGCGGGCTGTATATACTTTGGCCTAACTGGACCCGGTCCCACCTCTCGCTCACTCCACCCATCGAGTAATCGAGTGGAGCGACATACCAGTCTATATCTTTGCCTATGCTATATTTCGCAACGGGTGCTGCATGCACAGAGATTTGGTAAGCCCAATAATGTAAGTAGAGGTAATGTAGCATATGTAATAATGAAGTTAAATGTTCAGTAGCTATTTTGGCATAGTTTCCGATATGAGATGTACAAGTTGAATTTGATCAGGAGTAGATAATAGGTATCTACTCCTGATTTGATCATGTGCAGCCGATATTGATCGGGGCCGGTCGTGGATCACGTATTTCAGATTCGGGCTATTCAAAGCTGTGCGGTGTCGTGAATAGCGATCTGTCAGCTGAACCAGCCAATGAGATCTATCTATATTCTAATTTTGGAGTCCGTATCATCAGCCAGTGCATAGCATACAATAAAACATTTGTGTTGGGTGTGGGTGTGTGGTGTGGTGTGTGTGTTGTGTGTGTGTGTTGTGTGTGTGTGTGTGTGTGTGTGTGTGTGTGTGTGTGTGTGTGGTGTCTGTATTCACTGTGTATACTTGCCAAAAAATGGTTAATGTGTTGACATCTCAACCATAACAAAAACATGTGCAACAACTACAACTCTCTATATAACCTTACACTAACACTACTGGTATAAACGCATGCATCACAGTCACTACGCCCGCGCTTAGCGCGGGTTCCAGCTAGTCTTACTAAAGATCTGTGTCTCGTGGTCGTTAGGCGAGCAGCGCGATGTTGCACGAGCATGCAGGAAGCATTACCCAGCTCGTCCCGCCACATCACGGCCGGATTTCCCGCGCCGTTAGCTCCTCGCCCGTGCGCTTCTCACCGTAAGTGCCTGCATCCGCCACCGTCTTACGTACGTGGCGGCTCGCGTGCGATTCCTACATCCGCGAGAGCACGAACGAAGAAGCCGGTGCGGTATATATACGTACGTCGCGCGTGCAGGCAGCAGGCGAACTCAGTAGCGATGGCTTGGGAAAACACAGCCACGTAACAACGACGCGACTTCTCCTGCACGCACGCAGACAGACGAGACGTCGTCACGTAAGACGCGATTCTCCTGACCGCGCAGGGACAGACGAGACGCCGTCACGTAAGACGCGACTTCTCCTGACGCGCGCAGGACAGACGAGCGTCGTCACGTAAGACGCCCGACTTCTCACTGACGCGCGCGGACAGACGAGACGCCGTCACGTAAGACGCGACTTCTCCCTGACGCACGCAGACAGACAGACGTCGTCCGTAGACGCGACTTCTCCTGACGCGCGCGCGGACAGACGCAGACGCCGTCACGTAGATCGCGCGACTTCTCCCTGACGCGCGCGGACAGACGAGACCGCCGCACGTAAGACCGACTTCTCCTGACGCACGCCAGGACACGACGAGACGCCGTCACGTAAGACGCGGACTTCTCCCTGACGCGCGCAGGACAGACGAGACGCCGTCACGTAAGACGCGACTTCTCCCTGACGCACGCAGGACAGACGAGACGCCGTCACGTAAGACGCGACTTCTCCCTACGCACCAGGACAGACGAGACGTCGTCACGTAAGACGCGACTTCTCCCTGACGCACGCAGCGACAGCGAGACGCCGCCACGTAAAAGACGCGACTTCTCCCTGACGCGCGCAGGACAGACGAGACGCGGGCACGTAAGACGCGACTTCTCCCTGACGCACGCAGGACAGACGAGACAGCCCGTCACGTAAGACGCGGACTTCTCCCTGACGCACGCAGGACAGACGAGACGCCGCCACGTAAGACGCGACTTCTCCCTGACGCACGCGGACAGACGAGACGTCGTCACGTAAGACGCGACTCTCCTGACGCACTGCAGACAGACGAGACGCCGTCACGTAAACGCGAGCTTCTCCTGACGCGCGCAGGACAGACGAGACGCGCACGTAACAACGACGCGACTTCTCCCTGCACGACCGGACAGACGAGACGTCGTCACGTAAGACGCGACTTCTCCTGACGCGCGCAGGACAGACGAGACGCCGCCACGTAAGACGCGACTTCTCCCTGACGCACGCAGGGACAGACGAGACGCCGTCACGTAAGACGCGACTTCTCCCTGACGCACGCAGGACAGACGAGACGCCGCCACGTAAGACGCGACTTCTCCCTGACGCACGCAGGACAGACGAGACGCCGCCACGTAAGACGCGACTTCTCCTGACGCGCGCAGGACAGACGAGACGCCGCCACGTAAACGCGACTCCCTGACGCGCGCAGCACGAGCCGCCGCCACGTAAACGCGACTTCTCCCTGACGCACGCGGACAGACGAGACGTCGTCACGTAAGACGCACTTCATCCCTGACGCGCGCAGGACAGACGAGACCGCCGTTCACGTAAGACGCGACTTCTCCCGACGCACGCAGACAGACGAGACGTCGGTCACTAAGACGCGCGACTTCTCCCTGACGTCGCGCAGACAGACGAGCACGCGCACGTAAACGCGACTCTCCCTGACGCACGCAGGACAGACGAGACGCGTGCTGCTCACGCGACTCTGCGAGCTACCGTGAGGGGCTAGGGTGACGACCAACGCGGCAGCGAGACTCCGCGGGCCGAGGAAACGCCGATGGAGAGATGCACCCTCAGCGTCTCTTAGTGAAGCCCTCTTATACACAGACGCGATGAATCTAGACACTACAGCCTAGCGCAGACCTGCTGATTTGCTGTTGATCGTCGTTGGCAACCTACAACCGCAAAGCGATCGTCGATGGTGTCACCGCTTGTGCGCACACATGCGAGTTCGAAGCATTCTAGCAGAATTTGGGAGCGATGAGAGCGACGAGAATGATTCTTGCAACTCGTCGGCAAGCGCCGAATCGATACATCCGGTTGTTTAGACACTTCCATATTTTAACTATACATACAGGCTTGTATTCGTTGCTTATGGTTATATGATGCAATTGTTCACATTGTTAATCATTGAGTGAGTGACCGACGACACTCAGAGGATAGGCTAATGAATTGTGACTTCAAATTTTTATAATCTGAACATATTTTAGAGTATCGTCATAGTTTATACTTATACTATTACTAGTGTAAGATTATATTTTAATAATGTTAGGGTGCAATTTATTATTTTATAGCCCAATGATATAACTTATTTATACGACTAAGAGCTGGCCACATTTGCACATGTCGCACATTGCGAAAATAAATTGGGGACAGTTCTTATATCCTTGAACCCAATTTATTGGTCTACACAGTCTGTGTCTGTCAAAGAACAGCCTGCAGCCACAGGCCTAGGTCTACGTAAATTTAAGATCAAACCTTACACATTCACATTGTCATTGTGAATCATTGTGATTAATTATAACATATCGCAGTTTAGCTCGAATCGTAGTCTGCATTTGTATAAAGCGAATTGAATTGTGCTACTTGCAAACTTGACATTGTGATGGCCCACGGGACAATACCTTTTGAGAGTAGATCCGTCTAATTTTTCACAGCATAATGATACAGGTGCCTGCCACAGACGAAATTTGAAAATCGCGCTTACCTCTACCGTAAACAAACAAACGAATGAGCATCTATACGAGTTTCGTGCCGCCCTCTATGAACACTAAACTAATTAATTATAGCGAGAAAGATTTTCTTCCGCTTCCTGTGTAATCTCCGGCGACAGCGTGGAACTGAAGTACTGTCATAAACTATCAGATTTCGTTTGCCAGGTATGGCTAGTGAAGCAGAAATCCAGCTGATGGAAGACAGAGCCAACAGAGCAGACGAAATCATACAGACGCTGAGGGTGGAACTCGCATCACTGCAGCAGGCTGCCGGTATATTACTTATATTATCAGGTAGGAATTTGAGGATACATTTAGTCCCGTTAGTACTTACTTTTAATGTAAAAAATTGCAACAAAAACTTTACAAAATTAATATACAGTAACACCATAGAAAATTCGCGGCGTAGTCAATTTAATCCGATGATTTCAGGGGAGTATTGTATGGCTTGCAGTGAGCGATAGCGCGCGAGGCCGGTGGCGTCGAGTACTATATATGTGTGGCGTGATTATTTATCACAATCTGCGTAATAATATCACGGCTGGCAATGTAATACGCTCGGTGAAATATTTATTACGCAGCGTTACGCAGCGAAAGAATAGTGGGCTTACGAGTATGGTATAGAGAGCATACGCAATCACGTGGTATTTCAAAGGCGTGCACAGACTATATCAAATCAAAGGTCAATCATAAAAGAATATTAATTAATATGTTGTAGAGAACTTCCGATCAAAAGCGCCAACGCAATTACATATTCCATGTTTCTACTTCCTAACCTGTATAATAAAAAGTAATATGTAAAGACACGCGAGCGCACGTGACGTCCACGCACGCACACACACGCACACACTAGCAGGCACGGACGCACACGTACACGCACACACTAGCAGGCACACGCACGCACACACTAGCAGGCACGGACGCACGCGCACACACTAGCAGACACACACGCACACACTAGCAGACACGCACGCACACACTAGCAGGCACACGCACACGCACACACTAGCAGGCACGCACACACACATCCTGACGCACACACTAGCAGGCATGCACGCACACACCCTCACGCACACACTAGCAGGTACGCACGCACACACCCTCACGCAATGGAATCATTCAGGAGTAACATTGGGTAAGATCGATTTCACAGACTTCGGCGTCAGCTTACGATGCTTCCCCGGATAACGCAGGGACCTACCTTTCTTCAAGAGCCTCGTCGATGTCTTCCACTTCGAAGATCATGGACGTAGTTGCATCGTCATCTCCAACGTTGAATTCCGAGACATTCCCGAGTCCGTTTGTTATGTTCGTGTCCATCCTCGTCTCATGGCCCTGGTGCGTGCCACCCGATGCATTATCTCGAGCCTGAATACATCGCAAACGCAGTAGATTACGAGGACATAACAATATGCACGTACATGTGTCAGTTAAGTAGTAGCACAATAGTGCTAATATTATAGTGAAGGACAACACTGCCACTACGTAGAGCTTCAAAATTTCATTTCAATGTATTCCCCCAATTTAGTAGATGGATGACAGATAACGACAGAATAAGTTTCTACGTATAAATTTTCTAAAAATAGGATATAATTTTACTACACTTTAGTCTTAGAAGAGGAAATGGAGACACGTTTCAGGTTTATGCTAAATATACATGCATGCTATATACACATATGTATACAATGTATACAATGTATACAGTATACGCTATATTTCAATATATTTATACAAGTAAATAAAAAATCCACGTATATATTACATACTACACACACGCACACGCACACGCACACGCACACGCACACGCACACACACACACACACACACACACACACACACACACAACACACATACACCACACACACACGCACGAACGCATGCAAGCACGCACGACACATACCCCACACCCATGCACGCACGAACGCACGAACGCACGCACACACATATACAGTCTGCATATATCAGAAGTAAATACTAGGCGGAGCAAATATTACCCTTATTATTTACTCCTGGTTCTTGTGATACATATGTATAGTTACTATAGTACTATATAATAATACAATTATACATACTGAATCTTGTGTGGTCAGCTGTTGGTTGCTATGGCTGGTTACACGCTTGCTTCCGTAGCTGGCGGCCATGTGAAAGTTTTTACCAGGTAGCTTAATAGATCATAAAGTTCTCCCTTATGGCCTCGTTCGCTAAACAAGAAACAGACGAGTTTTAACGGAGCTTCGTAAAACTCAGCTCAAGATTAGAAGCACATAATATAAATCGTTGTGTCTGGTTTCTATAGCCTAAATTGTACAGGTCAACAATTCCTTATAGACAATTACGAAACTTGTAAATCTCTGAAAATCTTTTTCGAAAAGTTTTTTCGTGGAGTGTAATTCATGTGCAGTAAATCACCCGAGTGGTGGTGCTTAACATGTAACAACGTGCTAAATGCCTCTATTATGCCAACACTGTGTAGGAAAGAGCTTATGGTACAAATTTATCCCACTATTTCATTTAACAATTTATTACAGGAAAAATACATTGTAATATTGTTTACAGTCTTCATTCATTCCACGAAGTGTAAACAACAAGTGCCGCGGAGCGACAGCGCTCATCTAACGTCTACTGCAGTGACTCTGTGGTAGAGTGGTGGGATTCTAGTAAACCCTGTTAGTCCCAAATGTGTTCACATACACGCCAAAACAGTGGAATGCACAGGGATGGTATCAGGAACCTTCTCAAAAGAATGTTCGTTGGGATCGTTATGAAAGTTGCCACGGCATGGTGCGTACGTTTAAGTGTCTTCAGATTAAAGATGGAAGCACCCATCGTACGTAATAGCAACAACTATTTGCAAGACAGAATAGATAAGCACTCATCCATTTACCTACGCAAGCCTACAGGCTGCAATAGAGAGCTGCCACCTGTAACCAATTAACGCAGGTAAAAACTACACAGTACTTACCACCACCACATGCACTGGCAGTGGCATACGTTACATGTAATATACTCACAGTACAGAATGCCATAT